CGCGCATTTGCCTTACTGGGTAAAGGCACGTTGACAGCTCCTGCAGTAGATCCAGTGATGGACAGGGAACTAGGAGAAGGCGGTTCATGGGACATGGTTCGGTGGCGGAGAGACGGCGACTCGTCCGAAGGGATTTGGAACATATCATCAAATTGTCTTAGACCCCTCATGAAGCTGAGTCCTGAGGAATGACCCTGATAATCCCAATTGCCCTCCTCATCCAGATCAAGCTGGCCAGTGGCTTTGACCATGGCCTCAAGATGGGAATCTGGCTGTTCGTCACCGTGGACTGGTCCTTGATGGTGCGGGATCCGAGGGTCTCCAGGCATCACTGGAGGCCGCGGAGCCGGCTGTGGCAGCTGTGGTAGCAAGCCATTCTGAAGGTGGGCGTCAATGGCGGGGTCATTCAAATCGACCGTGGGCAGGACGACGTGAAGCAGCGCTTTTGCACGTTTTAGCTGGCTCTCCAGAGCCTCGATATACTGGGGAGTCGCATTGCGGCGACGATTCGAGGGCTGATCATATGTGCTGGTAGAGTGTCAATTACAGGTGTTGCAGGCTACTTGCAGGCAGACTGGGGATTTACCATTCTGCGGAGCGTTAGCATGTGTCCAAGGTGGGCAATTTCAAGACAGCGGGGCACGTACCATAGCTGTAGACGGTGCAGTGGGTGCAAGGCTGCTTGCCATCGCATTTGATCTTCTTGCGTCGACATTCGTCGCAAGCACGCGTCACACGACGCCGCTTCTGGGGTTGCGGTTTCGGTGCCTGATCATCGCCTACGTCATTGGTTTCCGAGTTTTCCTCGCCAAACTCAGAGACGTCTTCTTGGTGATTGTCGAAGGGGCCCGAGCGGCCCGCGTCTGCTGGAAGGCTCTCAGTTGTTGTGAGGGCCGGAGAAGTCATGGGTGTCGGGAAGGAGAATGTGGCCAGCTGTGGCTGGGGGGGAACGCTGCGCCTAAGAGCAAAAGTGGTGGATGCTCGTGACAGGGGTGTGAAGACGGCGGAGAAGCTTGTGGGTCAAGGATTAGAGTTAGGCTAGCGCCGTCGCATGGCACCGTCCCGCCCTTTTGCACGCCGGAATCGAATCGTTGGACTCCGCCGAGTCGTCCGCTTTTCACTTCTCACCTGCGAGCCAAGCCCAGTATTGGTGCATTCATCTCGGCGAGCACACCTGTCTGCCTTTATTGACTGCCCCAAGGCTTCATAACACGTCCTCGACAGGTTTTGCTCAGACAGCATGCACACCGCTTCCTGCCTAGCCCCACCTCCCGACGTTTCCATTCACAAAGACCAGAATCGCCAAGTCGTCAAGCACAGCAATGCTGACCTCTACCCTGTGGCGTCATACCGCTGCTGGCTGCTACCTTGAAGCGCCTATGGGTTGAGACACCTGGTGGGGGGTCCTGCTGAGACGCCACCCACGCCACCCAAGGTGTTGTAGAGCCCTGCATCCAAGCGAAGCCGAGCCTTCTCCATGGCTTTTTGCACACCAAACCTGCATTAGTCGTCTGATCCGCCAATCCGTTGCAACTTGTTCGTTCCCCGATATTCCTCGTGCGCTCTAAAGCCTCTCTATCGAGAAACGATCAGCCGCGACCAAACTCGGTTCCGTCATACAGCCAAGCGAGGACAATTACTCACCCCAGCCGTGGGCTGTCTCGGGCTCTCGTCCAGGGCGAGCTACCGAAAGCCTGTCTCCCCGCTCGCACCAGCCTTGCGCGACAGATCTTAGCGCCGGATAAAGTCGCCATGAACGTGACAGCGTGGCTTGACTGCGGCTGGTGACCCTTGCCATTACCTGCTGTACACCGGCGAGCAAACGTAAGAAACCCAAGTCCTGCCCTGCCTTTGACCGTATTCCAAACGAGAAGGTGCCTTCAACGTGATGAATTTATAGAGCAGCCCAGCTGCCACCATGGTAATGCCGGTACCAACCACAGTCCTGGAATTCTCCCAATTTTTCCAATGTCGGTTGGTCACCACCATCGATTTGCTCGAGCGCTCGGTGGGGCCGGCTACCGCTTCAGTTTCCCCATGAATACATTCTGCTAAGAGAACGAGCGTATTGGACCCGCCAAGTATAATCCTTTGAGATACGGAATGTCCTGAAAGAGCAGACTCTGCTCAAGCAGTAGCGGTTCCTGCAGTTGCTCCCGGTAGCATGTCGGTTGATTCGTATATACCCGTTTGCGATGCTTGTCCATCGGGTCACTCACCACATATCCGTATATACAGTATGCAAATTCCTTTGCTGTCGGAGATACCGACAATGCAGCCATGTCATACCGAGGTCCCTTGGCATTACTATGCTTCCAATTATGGACGCTTATACGTTGGTAATTGGAACACCCTACGCTTTTTAGTGGTGCTTATCTTGAGCCACATGTGCCGACTTCCGGGTGACTCAGCAACTCGCTTAGAGCACCCCATTTTCGCTCATCATCATGCAGGCCACATCAAGTCCAATACGAATGCCGTTCGTCTGGTCAGGCTTTAGCCACAGCACTAGCCACAAGGCCAAGAGCAAACACGTACGATGTCTCCTGCGTCTGCTCACATGGGCCAACAGAAATGAGCCAAGCAGTCTCAGGAGTGGCGCAAATTTGGTGGGGCGTTTGGCCAAGGTATGGCGCAGTCTTGTGAAACGTGGCTGAAAATCCTCAAGGGGAGATTGTGTGCATGATGCCAAGCAGAAAATGCCTGGGGTCTGCTTCGTGATCGCATCAAGGTGTGGCGCATGACGCAAACTGTTGTTGCGACGCAGACCACGTGGTTAGCTCCCGCAAGAGCATAAGTTGGCAATACGTGTGTGCGGGCTCATACGTAAAAGAAACAGCAAACTGGCCGATCGCCGGTCGTTCATACTTGACGGTTGGAATGCTAGATTTCGAAACAACTGTCGTGTTGCGAATCCTCAGAATATGCGATTGCATAGGGATGCTGAGATGTGACGTTCACTGCAGATCTGGACATTTCGTTCGATCGACAACACAAGCTTCGTGTTCGTAATAAGACCGTTGTCGAGCCGCCGTATATTAATGATCAGCGCATTCTATGATCTGATGGTAATCCTGAACGAAAATTCTGTACACTTGCTACGTCTGCCACTACCTAGGTACCAATGAGCCTCAGGCTCAAGAACACTGTAGCTGATGCAAGCTTCAGCCCTATATTAGTCTTGTTTCTTCTCGCAAATCTGACTTCGGCCAAACTGAACCAGTCTAAGATCCGTCAGTGGAACGTCTTCTCTACGCATTGACGTAGTCGACAATCTCGATCCGGTGGCCAGGACAGTTCCAGTCCTCCGGCTTGGTGCGGTAGCCACACCCACTAAAGCGTTAGTCGAAATGGAGAGTTCTGGACTCGATACCACCGAGCGGGACCCCAAACATAGGCTCAGTGTGACCATACATAAGGGCGATCATGGAAAAACTCAGGACTGAAGATTGTGCTTTGAACGTAAGTTAGAAGATATCTCGATGAGCCCGGAAGTGGAAGGCTAGGCTTCAGTCATGGTTTTATCATACTCTTTGTGATGAACTAATGGCTATCCTGGCCGTGCACGGAAAGTGAGGTTGTTGGGAAGCAAACGAGAGAGCGGTGCAGTCTGTTGGTTACCGCAAATGCAATACTCTTCTCCAGCATGGAAAATAGAGCCAAATGGTTGTGAAGTACTAGCTCGGGTTTGCGCGGCTATCACCAACCGTCTGTACAAGTCTACGAAGACTGGTCTTAGGAATATCGATTCAATACCCCTAACCGGCTGTAATGTGGCCGACATGTAAAACTGCTTCTTTGCTGTAGGCTACACGCGGTTTCTTCCTTGTTTATATAGGAATAGTACACGTCTATCCCCAGTCATGGGGAAACAGCTGAAGAACCACATGAGAGGGGACTGAGCGTGACCATTACTACGAGTCTGGAAGTGACATCTCAATGCTCTGGAAGGTTTTGTTGCGAAGTAGAGCGTGACAGGTGCTGTTATTCTTGCTTAAGGTTGCAGCAAATAGATGCCGCAGAAGAGGCTGCAAGAGCTGGATGAAGTTGTGCGTGCCGAAAACGGGTATGATGTGACGGAAACTCAAAGCGGTACTACCAAGCAGGCGCAGCAATCATGCGATAGGATGCGATCATGCCAATTCAATGAGACTTTTGGAATCTTTCACAGATACCAGAGCACACAAGATCGCGAATTTGTTCCTCTATGAATCCTGAAACCCTCATTCCTTGGAGACAGTAATGATTATGATAATACATCATAGTGAAAACGAGACAGTCCCTAGGGAATAGGTAACATTGAGAAGTATACCTAGATAGTAGCGTTCAAGGAGCTTATCTCTATTGTCCGGATTGAACCAAATGTACATGCGCGACAAGAAAATCTGGCCAAAATACAAAAACTGCTGATCATTCAGGCAAGTCCGATGGAGTCCGCAAAAAGTTCTTGTGTGAAACAGTAACGGATCCAGTAGTGAGATGAAGCCGTGTAACAGAAGTGCTAAGCCGCCTGTGTTGGAGCTGCAACGATTGGAAGGATCGGTGACTGTCAAAAGAAACTCGACCCGGGTACACGATGATGACGGTGTTTCAAAATCGATTGCCCAGAAGAATGCAGCTCCTTTCCCTTGTTGCAGCAATAGCCATCCTACTGTTCTCACTGCAGATGCAGCCTCGTATTGTGCTCTCATGTCGGGCGCGAGAGTAGTGAGCAGAGACTGCACAAGTGCAGCGACTGGTTGCCATGGCCATAGTAGCTAGGCTACCTAAATCGTTCGACAGCAAGCCGCTTAGACATGCACGACGGCTCAAGACGTGCATCATGTTTTCATGGGGCGCTGGCCGCCGCTGCTGTGCAGAGCGTGGTGATGTGCAGGTGCGAGTGGTGTTCGAGATGGCAGTCACGCTAATGGGTCCGTGCACCACAAAGTCGAATATTGAATTCGCTTAGTCCTGAGCCACCTGGAATTCGCATCTCTCGAGCTCTCCATCACGACAACTAACCTCACAGCACACCGGAGTCGAGCAAAATGTCGACCTTCGAACCCGTCATTGTACGTACGCCCCGATAGACGCAACCCGATATGCCCAGTACTGGCCTTCGCATTCCGCGGCGATGCCAGCCTCCAATTCCGTCAACAATACGCATTCTTCCATGGAACGTCTCGCTGACAGCGCACGCAGGTCATCGACGGCAAGGGCCACTTGCTCGGTCGCCTCGCCAGCACCGTCGCCAAGCAGCTCCTTAACGGCCAGAAGATCGTTGTTGTGCGATGCGAGGCCCTCAACATCTCCGGCGAGTTCTTCCGCGCCAAGTGTACGTACACCCACCGAACGAGCGAGCGAGACAAGGAGCAAGCCCTGGAGTGCAATTGAGAGTATGGGGCTACAAGGAGACGATGTGGTCGACAACATGCACAGTGCTTGCTCTTTGGCTGAGCGCTCTCGGGATATGTTTTTGGAAAGATGGCAACTGACAGGGTTATACAGTGAAGTACTCTGCTTTCCTGCGCAAGCAGACCCGTTACAACCCCACTCGCGGTGGTACGTCTTCCTGTCCATGCATTGCGCATTCGCAGTCAAAACTCGAATGCGTGACCTGCCACGGCACGTGTGCTGATTCATGCTCCAGGTCCCTTCCACTTCCGCGCTCCCTCCAAGATGTTCTGGCGAACCGTCCGTGGTATGATTCCTCACAAGACTCCCCGCGGTAAGGCCGCTATGGAGCGCTTGAAGACCTTCGAGGGTGTTCCCGCTCCCTACGACAAGAAGAAGCGCGTCGTTGTTCCCCAGGCCCTGAGGGTACTGAGGCTCAAGCCCGGACGCAAGTACTGCACTGTCGGTCGTCTCGGTCACGAGTTCGGCTGGAAGTACCAGGACGTCGTTGCCCGGTATGTCACATGTACCAAGTTCAGGCAGTTCAAATTTGCTAATTCACACACAGTCTCGAGGAGCGCAGGAAGGTCAAGGGTGCCGCCTACTACGAGCGCAAGAAGGCTGTCCGACGGCAGTTGGCTGAGGCCAAGAAGACGGCCAACGTCGACTCCAAGGTCCAGCAAGAGCTCACATCCCTCGGATACTAGAAATCGGCAGTCGATGAACAGTGTCGGTTTCAGTTTCGGTGACGTGGTTCGGCGTGGATTGCATTGGGCTCATGGGATGTTTATTTCCTCTACTATACTCCGACCATTCGAAAGGGTGTCCAGGCTAAAAGAGCACATCAATACCAGGGTGCTTACGTGTTCATGGGTCTCTTCGCGGTCGGTCTGCTGTGTCTTCAGGTACTCTTCCGGCTAGAAGCAATACGAAATGAAAAATCCCAGCTGATGTAAAGCATGGTGACGGCGTTGAGCGTTCAGCAATAGACTTGTGGTTATGTCAATTGACTTACGATTCCCCTTGAGTAAAACATGCACGCTTCAAGTGACACAGTGTTTTGCATAGCACTCGGACTCACCATGCGCATCCGATCCGACACGCCCGAAAGGATGGACAAGGTAGACAGCCTTACTGACGGTTAACCTCGGCTGTGACGTCGTGCCGCAACGGAACCGGAACCCTTCCCCAGATTTCCCCAATCCATGGTTGTAAGCCTCGACATCAGCTACCGTTGCACCCTGCAATACATGTATTAGATCGCTTCCAGGCAGTGGCTGCTCTAGAGAAGAGCTGAGATATATTTCTTCTTCCGTTCCTTACCCTTGTTTGGTTTGCGCCTGTGAACCTTGGATTGCTCAAGACCTCGGACATCTCTCGCATCTCGTCCCATAGCGGAGCTACTCCGCACTCTTGCGTCTATAGCTTCAGCTCAGCCTGGACCAATCTGTAGATCGGTATTTCTATTACGCGTATATAAGTTGTCGTTGTACCCATAGACCACTACATTGCCGTGCAGATACAATGGAGGGGGCCAAAGACCGTCTGAAGCAACTCGCGTCGCACTTCACCTCAGCGAACCCTGTCCCCGGACCTCCACCTATCCATCCCGGCGACAGCCACGAATACCATCACCGACACAACTTCCACACCCTCAGCCCAACATGGTTTCTCTGGCGCGCGGCGCAAATCGAGCCCGACGCGACGGCAATATACCACAAGACAGCAAACAACAAGATCCTACGGCGCTCCTACGCTGAAGCTGCGGATCGCGCACGAGGCCTGGCATACTATCTGAGGAAACACGGATATAAGAGAGTCGGTATACTGTCGACAAATACTCCAGCCTTTTTGGAGAGCACATTCGGCATCGCAGCGGCAGGAGGTGTCAATGTCGCGATCAATTATCGATTGAAGCACGATGACATCAGCTACATCTTCCAGCACTCGGACGTTGATATGATTATTGCGGATGCCGAGTTTGTGGGATTATTGGACGAGTACAAGAAAGAGAGACCGAGCATACCGATATTGGTCGATACTGATACGGACGCGACCGAAGGCGAGCTCTCAGGCCCTTTCGACGATGCAGTACTCGAAGGACTGAAGTACGATATCGAACAGGGCGGCAAAGGCTGGGCTGATCTAGAGGCGCAGGCAAAGGACGAGGAGGATGTCATGGCACTTGCATACACCAGTGGGACAACGGCACGACCAAAGGGGGTCGAATATACACATCGCGGCGTCTACCTCGCTGCAATGGGCAATGTTATTGAATCCGGACTAAACTATCACACGGGCCGTGCAAAGTATCTCTGGACTCTTCCCATGTTCCATGCCACCGGTTGGACCTTCCCATGGTCTGTAACTGCCGTGCGAGGAACACACTACTGCCTCCGCAAGATCGATTACCCAGAGATCTGGCGCCTACTCAAGGAAGAAGGTATCACGCATTTCAACGCTGCGCCTACTGTCAATACCCTCCTTTGCGCGGCAAAAGAAGCAGAACGTTTACCTCAATCAGTGAGAGTGACTGTAGCGGCAAGCCCACCAAGCGCCTGGCTTTTTGAACAGATGTCAAATCTGAACTTGAATCCTGTACACGTCTATGGCCTTACGGAAACCTACGGTCCAATCACCAAAGGTTACCATATGCCTGAATGGGATATACTTCCGGAGAAAGTCAAATACGATCGTATGGCACGACAGGGTCATGGTTTCATCGTCGGCAAAGCGACGCGGGTCATCAAGACAGAGCAGCCAGAGGGCGTTCTCACCGACGTAGCAAGAAACGGCAAAGAGATAGGCGAAGTCATCTTCGAGGGCAACATCTGCGCGAAAGGATATTACAAGGATGCCGAGGCGACGCGTAAGTTGTGGGAAGGTGGCTGGTTGCATACGGGCGATTTGGCGGTTTGGCATCCAGATGGCGCGATCCAAATTCTGGATCGGGCGAAGGACATCATTATTAGTGGTATGTTTTTGTATCTCCTGAAATTCTCCTGTGTTTGCATGTTCTCTTCAAAACAACATACTGACAATACATCTCACAGGCGGTGAAAACATATCGAGTGTAGCTCTTGAAGCTATGCTGTCTACTCACCCCTCCATTCTCGAAGTCGGAGTGTGCGCCGTTCCTGATTCGCACTGGGGCGAACGACCCAAGGCTTTTGTTACCACGAAAGACGGAACGAACAGCGAAACCCTAGGCCAAGAAGTGATACAATGGGCTAAGGAGAATAGTAATATCAGTCGATTTATGGTACCCAGAGAGGTTGTGGTTGTGAAAGAGCTGCCTAAGACGAGTACGGGTAAGATCCAGAAGAACGTTCTTAGGGAGTGGGCGAAGAAGGGTAGTGTAGAGTAGACTTGGTTTAACGGATATTTTGTGTCTATTTGCGATATGTGCCACCTGCATGTACGCGCCGCGCCACATATGAGAACATGCCAAAGCACTATGAGAAGGAAAGTAACCGATGTAGGATGTATGTTAGATATATATGGAAGGTCAGTCTTGCGAGATGAGTGCTAATTTCAATACCACGCTCAGTCATTGTTGGCCCAATAACAGTAATACAAGATCTGTTCGAAAGACGCATCATCCTCTTCTCTCACGAACACGAGCAAGATGTTTAGCAGCAGCAAGTTTATATATCTTATGTGACGTTGTGTTCGACGCGCTGGCTACCGACAATAAAAACCTTAAACGTGCAGAGGCAGCAGCCATAGCATATGCCAACATGATAGTTCCTACACGAATGCCTCCACGTGTTCTGGTCCCTTCATTGCTCCATTCACTGTCCATCCCGCGACTAGGTATCAATACTCTCACAACACCCACCCATTAACCCCAACGAACACTACATCAAACCAAGCTTGCGCTGCCATGAACACAACTACCCAATTTGGTGTCCAAAGCCCCTCATACCGCATCTTATATGCCTGCCATATCACCATGTGAGCCGTTGCAAGTACCAATTTTCCCACAACTGCAACACCAATCGTAACGTTCCTCCGCAGCACCGAGCCACCGACGTTATCGCTAGCGATGGTGATGAGATAACCAATCCAGAAACACGTAGATATTACGAGAGAGATGGAAGCAAAGTATGGGAGAAGGGGTGCAGAGCCAGTTGGCGTTCCCTCAAACTAGATGATATCAATACGTATACTCTAGAGGTTGATGAAGAATTAGAGTTCTACTTACGAGATCTGTGGCCCAGACAGTAGTGAAGATGGCGCTGATCAAGAAGACGGGTGCACAGATAGTGTCTGTCGGCGCGCGTGAGGCATGAGCGTGCTTTGCGACGAGTCGATATTCGTTGGGGCGGGTGCGCTGCGTCGCTGCACCATAGGAAGGCAGAAGAGGTTCATTTGACATCGTCCAGAGCACTTTGTCTAGGTAAATATTGGAAACAGAATATCTGGGTGGGAAGTGAGTGTTGAAGTCGGGGAAGAGAAGGTGGGGTAATCGAAGAGTGGTGGTGCAAATGAGTAAGGCTCAGCCTAACTGTGCCACTTCGTTACCTTTTACAGGCGGTCTCTGTCATGCACTCGATGTTTGTACCGTTAAGAATCAAGGTCGGCCTGAAAGCAGATATGGATTTCTATTATGACCGATCAACCACAAACACATCATTCACCCACACTTGCACCATCAAGACCCCGATAAGCAAATACGGGATCTCGAAGCTTGGTAGTGGTTGCGTCGATCCTATCATATCGACAGCATCGAAAATTGTGTATGTGTTTCTCTTTGCAGAAGACGGAAGTTGAAGGAAGTGTAGACATTTTCCGGGCAAGCGTGATGTTATGGTATCGCTGAGTAAGGCACACTTAACACAGATCGCTTGAGATGGCTCCCAGCACTTTAAAATATGTGTTTGACAAAACAATCTTTTCTAAATCCTCTTCAAATGAAAAGTCTATCGTCAGTCACTCTAGCGAAATGAACATGCCAAAACTGCTCTATGTTCCAGGATCCAACAAAAACGCCTATATCGTCTACCTCTTCCTTTTCTCTTCCTCTTCTCCCTTCTTCTTGGCCGCAGCCTTCTTCGCTTTCTCCATTCTCCCCACCGCAGCCTCAGCCCCAATTCCACCAAAGACCAGCCCAACACCAAGCCATTGCATGCCTGTAATCTCGTGACCAAACCACCACACGCTCCAAACCATTGTCAACATCTTTCTCGTAACCGTGACAGTAACAAGCAGCAACGAGCTGAAGTGAGCCAAGGTATGGAAGATGAAAACCTGGCCTATAGCGCCACAGGCTGAGAACATGAGGACGTCCCAGCCTACAGCGGGGTAGGTGGTTATGAAAGACAGCGCGTCAGAGAGTTCACCGGAGGTAGAACGGGGGTCGAGTCCGATCCAGGGAGCGAGGGGAGTGGAAGCGAGGAGCGGGGTGATAAGGAGGTATGAAACTGTCAATGCTGTAGACATGATATTCTGCGCACACATCATTTGGGGCCCAGTGAAGCCTTTGAAACTGCTGAAGATGTGATCTTGAACTGTGTTGGTCAGACCGTCGAAGAGTAGATTGACACTGAGTAGAACAAGACCGATGGTTTGCGACGCGTCCGCATTGACACCTTTCTTCGCGGCCTTCTTCGCAGTTGACGGGCTGTGCAAGGTAAAGACGGCTACACCCAGTGTTACAAAACCAACGACGGCGTACTTGTACATTGGGTACCGCTTCTGGAAGAGCGAGATGTGGAGGAACATGACAGGTAGCAGCTTGCAGCTTTTAGCCAAGATGAAGGTGACATAGTCGATGTGCTTCAGACTCGCGTATCCGAAGGGAGAGGCGAGCGACGAGGTGACGGCGATTCCAAGGAGCGGCACCAGGATGTCTTTGGAAGGGAATATAGGGAGCACTTTGCGAAGGCCGGTTTTGGGGTCTTTCTTCGCGGAGAGGTTGAGATATAGGAGGCCGGTCATGGCAGCAAAGGCGGATTGGACCGTATTGAGGAAGATGGAGTATGTGAAGCGCTCGTTCTTGGGACCGTGGGTGGTGGTCGTTAACCGCTCTTGGATCCATGCCCAAGTCATGCTGTCTTGCTGTCAGTCAGGGTCCTCGAATCCAATCTACCCTCGCGCCCTGTGACTTACAAACTCCCGTATATACCGGCGACGCAAATGACCAACTGGAACAGGCCTGCTTCCTTCTGCTCCTGGGGGTTTCGCGCATGGAGCTCCGCTTGCTCCTCCAGCTTCTGCTCGATCGCATGGACTGCGCCGTCTAATTGGTGATGCGCATTTCCATTGGCACCTCCCTTGGTCTCGTTGACCTTGCGTCGGACTGCTTCTGCCATTGCGGGTGCTCTATCACGGTGGTCCCTCGATTGACGTATTGGTGATGATTTCGTGCAAGGGGCGCGCGGGCGGGACTATAGCTTGTTCTGGCGTATACAAAGGAGCGGACAGCGCAGTGAAGAGCGCGCGAAGAGGGAAGTCAGCAAGACCGTGTTTGTAGAGCGACTGCGGGTGGAAGCGACAAAGTACACCTGTCTTTAGATTTACATTGCATTGACCAAAGATTCAACCGTGGCATCAAGGGCCCGGAGCTAAGACGGAGCTAAATGAGCGGCACGAGCCATGTTTGAGCCTCAGGGATACCCACTTCGCTAATTCAATCGATGCGGGGGCGACGCTTCACTCGGCCTGTCGGCGAGCTGGTGTGAGTAGACACAGAACACGTCTGGGAGAAGCTATGTATTTCGATTCAAATTTTGCTTGAATATACCAGTCAGTTCCTGAGTAGATATCTATCTAGGCAGTGGCTACAAGCAGCGTCAAAGCCTCGAAGCGTACCGCTCCAGCCGTCATAAAGGTCGTAAATGCTCGCTAAAGTTGATCCAGAAAAACGCGCCAAACGCCAGAAGATGCAAAACCCACTTTTCCCCAAGAGCCAGCCAGAATGCAGCTCACGCCTCACCTCTGACAATCTTCGCAACAGCGCTCTTCACTAGCACCCACATGGGCCCAGCGTTGACTTCCTTGCCGCCACCTTCCTCCATCCCGCATTTCCTCTTCCACGCGTCCCTCCATCCTCGCTCAGTATCCTTCTGCTTGAGCCTCATCAGCTGCCCCGCTCGCTTTCCTTGCCTTCTGTACCCCGCCATGAACGCGTCCCATTCTCTCCTCTCCTTGACGAAAATGACTACACCGTTTCCTGCATCGATTGGCTGGCTACCCCCAGATAGGATCCGCGCCTCCCACGCGCTACCCATGGACTGGAAGGTGAAGTTTGAGCTGTGCAGAACATAGTAGCGTTTTCGCTTGCCGAACTTGGAGGCTGCGTTGGAAGAAGGCGTAATCCAGTGTGTCGCGCGAGAATAGATGCCGTCTGCCAGGGCTTCATGAAGAAGCTCAGAGGGAATGTATTGTCGGCACTGAAGGAGGAGCTTATTGCGGAGCAGACTAATGTCGATGTCTGGATGTGCGGTGGGTATTTGTGGCGAGTGAGATAGAAGTGCTTTGGTCTGTGTGCGTGTTGAGCGCGCTGGTGGTTTGGATATGCGTCCCGAGGCCCGTATGACTGTGACTGGGTTGCTGAATTGGTGGGGTGTGATTGTCTGCGTTTGAATAGGCGCCATGGCTGGAGTGGTACTCAGTTCAGAGTAGTGTTTGGTGTGCGGGTCGTAGCAAGTCTTGTATTCTTCAAACTGTGGTTCCGTACAGTGCCGGCTGGGAGTAAAGTCGTCGAGTAAGGATTTCAGTGTGGAGGAGCAGAAGCGAAGAAGAGAGGGAACATGCGGTCAAGAAATCATCTTTAACCATCATGCACCCCTTCCTAGAAGAGCATAGCTCCTGAAAAGAAACAGCTGCCATCCCAGCCTTCGGAAATCAGTCGGGTGCCAAATCTGTCTCTGCCCTTAGTGCCCTAGTCTACCAATCCCTGGGCGCGATCCTGGTCTAGGCAAGCACAGAACAGTGGAAGGATTAGCGAGCCCTGCCCGCCGAACCTCACCGTATGGGGCGTGGGGGAAGGATTGTACAGCGTGTGCAGCGACAATTTCCTCGACTTGTTGCTGTTGCTGGTACATGTGCCGTGGAATATTTCGCCTCAACCTTCTTCAACGCTGTCTCTACAGCTGACTTCACAAGGTGCAGGGTGGCACAGGCCGGACGTCTTGCGCAGGTGCTTCGTCCGAGCGTGGCACTAATGACGTACTCCGCCTGAAGGGTCCAACGGTTCGGACAGCCTCGTTTTGCACGTGTAATGCTAACCTTATGTCCCTTTGGCCGGCATCACCCTCAAGCTTTCGCAAGCACAGCATCACGCATCGAATTTAGACACTAGCATCATAGAATTCTAGATATTTATAATAGATGTTGTTTGGTTGTATCGGAGTGTCGGTAGGGAGAGCAAGGAAGGGGGAAGGTGTTCGGGCAAGGAGTGAGGGAGTGATTAGGAAGGTACATCGGAGTGTTGTGGTAGAGACCAGGAGATGGCGAGAATCATCTCAGTTCTTCTCCAGCTCTTCTTCGCCAAGAAAACCCAAAGATGGATGTCAGAGCTGCTACCCATGAGCAGATGTACTATCCGGATATCAAAGGCCATAACGTCATGACATTCGTGAGCCGCTCAGCGTGCACTCGGATCTCTCTCGACAATAGAAAGAAAAGTAAACAATGCTCCAGACAATCCATGGTATCCATCAGTAACAGCAAGTAAGAAACTAAGCAAATCCATGCTTTTTGTTGACGGTTGTCGTGGCCTCCATGACTAGAGGCATAAATGCAGATGGCGACGAATATAAAGATTTCGCAGTTTATAGCGAAGCCTGAGCGGCCTCGGGCTGTCTGGCGACCCCCAAGAGAGTGGGCAAGGCCCTCAAGGTGTAGCGACAACGCCGCGAAACTCCTAACGGCGCCGAGGTTGGGTAGCAGATGCATATCTACGAAGCGATCTACTCCTGGGCCTGGCTGCGACGCATCTTTTCAGCCTCAAGGTTCTCATAGAGAAGATAGAGCGCCTTCTCGTTAGCACTGGCACTACCAGTGATGGTAAACATGCGCTCGCCAGTGTCGTCATGGGGTGCCTTCGCAATGGAGATACGGGCGTTGGAGGTCTTGCGAATCTCGCTGATCTTGCTACCGCCGCGTCCAATGATACAGCCAACCATGTCAGATGGGATGCTGATGTTCTGAGTCTGCATCTCTTCGCCATCTTCGGTATGCGTTGGGGGCGGAGGCCTGCTCGCGGCATCGGAGCCAGATCGTCGGGAAAAGGCAGGAGGCGAATCACTGAAATCAGCGCCATGACCAGTGCGGTTGTACGAGCGTCCGCCCATACCACCGCTAGGTGCACCACCACCGTTGGATAGTGGGACGGGGCCAGCGCCAGGCTGAACCCTGACGGCAGGATTGTAGAGGACAGTACCGTAGCCGCGCTCGGAGTCGTCGATGAGGCACTTGCCAATCTCCCAGATAGCCTTCTCGATACCGCCAGGCGATCCTTGGACTTCGACGATGCGCTCGGTGGACTGGGGGAGCATCTCCTTCTGCGCAACCATACGAACGCCAGAGGCATCCTGAATCTGCTTGATCTTCAGGCCCTGGCGACCAATGATGGTACCCATTTGGTTGTGCGAGATGAGCAGGCGGATGGCTACAGAAGTTAGCTTGGTACCAGCTCTCATACGCAGCCATGTCGCTGGGAGAGCGCCGTGGTGTCGCAATTGTACATACGATGAGTGCCGTCCGTGCGGATAACGCCGCCCATGCCCATTGCAGGAGCGCCTTCGAGCAGACCTTTGGCGACTAGGCCATATGCCTTGGCGATGCCAGAGAGGCTGCCAGTGACGGAGAGGACACGGTCATGAACACCTTGAACGACCTTGCTGACACCGGCGCGCACGCCAGTCTCGTCGCGCAGGTCAGCAACGTTCTTGCCCGCCTTGCCAATAATGACACCGGCCTCCTTGGACGAAACAATGGCTCGAAGGGTGAGCTGCGACTCGGCGTATTCCTCTTCGGTGCGCGGGGCTACTTCGCCCTCACCGTCGATGTTGAGGCGGTCCAGTTGGTCGGCGACGCGGCTGGCATCTTGACCGGGACCGGGTTGGGGCTCTTCTGAGGACATGTTGTGGAGATGGTCTAGGGAAGCGCTGCAGCTGCGGTCAGTGACGTAGTTTCGCGACACGCGCAATGTCGCGATACTTACAAGAGACGAAGTTGTGTTGTGGAGACGGAAACGAGACCTAGGTGTAGTGGGGTGGAGAGGGTGAGGAGGACGGGTCGAAACTCTCCAGACTATTGTGTCAAATGTCAGTGACTGTGTCGAGGTTTGTGTTTGGAGGTCGGCATGGAAGCTACTCACTGGCGATTACGGAAGTGGCGGGGGAGGTGGTCGGTGCGGGATAGCGAACAGGTAGATGAGAGGGGGGAGCAAGGGTAGGTGGGAGCGGAGAGGAGGGTTGGGGGACGCGTGGGAGAAGAGAAGAGAGGAGTGTTGTCTGAACCAGTTTGGAGCGTGCAGGTAGAGTGGAGGTAAGGTGACGGAGGGAGACGAAGCCCTGGGTCTGAGCAATATTAGGGCGGCAGATGTAGCTTCTCTTAGCGAGACGGACGAGCCTTGCCGTATTCACAAAGATTGCAGATGCTGGGAGGAAGCTACGGAGGATTCAATGCATTTCATGTCCTTGTGCAGCAGTCGACACCGTTCCTATGGGCAATCACCATGCATGGCCTGCAGGCGTGAATGCATTGAGCTGTTCGCAAGTATCGCGCGCCCCATCATCGAACACAGAACAGAATAGACCCCGCGTGCACAGGCCTTGAAAACGGCCACGTCCCCACGAAGATGCAGCTAAATCAGAGCATCCAGGGTATTGGCTAACGATGGTTGGAATGTGAATGTATCGTGCCGTCCATAATTGCGATTGGCTGAGATGTGCGGATCATCCACTATTCAATTGTTTAACTCAGCTTGAGGACACTGTGACTCTGCCAACCTGTGCACTTGCCCCTACTACCATCAACGCCTGCTACCTCAACACCGCTCAATGCTTTTGTCACGTACGAACCCTACTTCTGCGCCTCGAAAACAACTTTCTGCACCTTCATCTTATCGAACAAGTCATAGCCTTCAAGGGCTTCGCTTAATGGCATGATCTTGTCAGCCATGAATCTGTCACGGGTTAGCCATCAAATTTCCTCCATGTTCCAGCCTCAAACTTACCCAAGCTTTTCCTGATGCCGCTTTAAGCTTTCCAAAGCCTCCTCGAACACACTTCTCACCGGACACCTTCCCATCTGAACCCTAACGTTCTTGTTGTATGCTTCATTGCCGGTCCAGGGTATCTCGCCATTATGCACACCAACAGAGCTGATGACACCCCAAGGTCGGACAAGCTCATAACCCATGCGAAGGGCAGGCGAAAGTCCGACAACTTCAATGATAATGTCTGCACCGCGACCCTCTGTGAGCTCTTTGACACGTTTGTCCAGGCCCTCGCGATCAGTTTGAAAGTTCCAGGGCTCTGCACCCAGGGACTTGGCGAGTTCCAGGCGAGAGGGAACAGAGTCAACAGCGAGGATATGTTTTGGCTTGTAGTCGGTGATGTTGCAAAGTGCGCAGAGAGCTACAGGGCCACAGCCAATGAGCACGACGACACTGTCCTTGATCTCCTCTGGCGTGGAGTATTGGAAGCCGTTCTTAGCTGCGAACATGCCTGTTGGAAATATATCTGCCATAAGAACTAGGGCCTCGTCTTTGATGCCCGATGGTGCTTTGACGGCCGTCGAGTCGGCTAGAGGGACTCGGACATATTCCGCCTGGCCGCCATCTAGGGCAGGGCAGCCAAACAGCTGGCTCTTGACACATCGCGAAGAGAAGCCGTGGGTACAGTAGAAACATTCGCCGCAGGAGGTTGTAAATGGCGAAACAACACGATCCCCGACTTTGAGTGTCTTAATCGATGAACCTACTTCGTGAACGTGGCCGGTAAACTCATGACCCATCACAAAATCGGTAGCAGATGGTTGATGGCCGCGGAAAACGTGCAGTTCACTTGATGTGTTCAGTCAGAGATGTCGGTAGCATCGATGGTGATTCTAAGTACCTGCCGCACAATGCCGTCTGCGAAGGATTAGTAGGAAGTGATGATGCTGAACTGCTAGCGTACCTTTTCAACTTTGACGATGATATCTCCGGCATCTTGAATCTTTGGAATCGGCCTATCTTCAATCACCACCTTCCCCGGTCCCTTGAATACCACTGCTTTCATGTCGTGTTTGATTACTGCAACTGATTATCGATGGTAAGATACTGAGATGAGCGTGACAAGATTGAAATAAAGACACACGTTTGAGTTGAGAAACTAGGAGCGACCAAGTGGAGCTGGTGGACTACCTATAAGGCGCGATATAGGGCGCGCGCTCTGACGACATCGGACGCGCGAAATGGTCCTCGGTGATGATGTGGTATGGTAGCTTCTGCCCCGCCGAGGTTCGACTGCGGGGTACACACCACGGGCAGTGGAAGTATATTGGCTGCACGGATGTTTCACAGCTTAAATAACATTGCTGAGGTAGTGAGCCACGCCTGGAGACACATGGGAAATGTTGAGACTGGTGTCATGAGTTGATGAGTTGCGCGATTCGGTTCTACGGACTTGGACAGCTCATAGCTCTAAGAAGCTCGAAGCTCGAAGCTCACCGCAGCCCTCCGCCGCTTCCGCATCAACATGCCAGCTCGTGGATGAAAAAAAAAATAGCAACAGCACTGTAGGGTCTAGCGTACCATGTAAACCCACCTGAACGCCTTGTCGGAAGTTCAGTCAAACCCAAACGCGTAAACACCTTTCGTAAAATCCAAGCCGTATCGCCATATCCAATCCAAGAATCGCAACAAATACCCATGCAAATATGACGTCGACGGCATCTAGTAAAATGCTCTCCCTCTAGGTGACGGTGCAAAGTAGCTCCTCCTCCAGGATGAACTTGCCCTCCTTGTACTTCTCGCTGGCCTCGTATGCCTTGTCGTACTTCCAACCGACAGTCTCCTTGCACTGGCGACAGTGGATGTCTCGTACTATGTGACGTCCTGTGGTCATGTTGCGTTCGTTGGGGTCGGATTCGGTAATGTTTACGACGCTGTCAAAGAGATAGGCCTTGCCGTGCTGGCCACGGAAGTTCTTCGCAATGTTAGCATTCTATTGATGCGTGGAGTTCAAGGCGCGCTGACCCTGCTGAGTATGTCATCGTGGTTGGAGAGATGGGTCTTGCAGTTCTTGCAGCCGTAGATGCGCGACGAGGTGGAGTTGAGGTAGATGTTGTAGGTGAGTCCCATGGTGATGGACAGGCGATCCGACTCGCTGATCGAGGGCTGCTGGGGTGTGGAAGATGCGTCGAGACCGTGGCGGTAATCAGAGCGGTAGTCAGAAGTGGCCACTCGTTGTTGGTCGCCGCCTGTCATACGTGCTGTTGGCGCGGGTGTGAAGGGGACAAAGGTGGCGGGGAGCTAGCGGTGAAGCGTTTGAAGGGCCCGAAGTTTGTGGCTCCCGCTGTTGCGCCCAAGCGCGATTACTATCTTAGGATGTGGAATGAAGCCTTGGATCTGGCCTGGAGGTGACGCCGCTATGCCGGTAACTGGTGGCACGTGCGTATCGGAGCGGGATGACGGAGGCGAGGGGCACTGGTGGGTAGACAGAGAGCGGCGGTAGTGTGACTGGGACGTCAAGTTGGGTTGAATACTCTACACAAGTATCTACGTGGCATGGGCTGAGACTTTGTGGAACCAGACGATGAGGAGTGCAGTGAGAGAGCTCCAGGATCGCCAGGCTAGTGCATGTGGTGAGATGGAGCGGGGCCGTCTTGGAGGAGTAAGGTGGTCAGCTGGCGACGCACGCGGACGGTATTCTGTCCAAACTCGAAGAATTCTAGGGATGTGTTTACATTAGCATGGACGACATGGAGTCGATTGAAGAATCAACGTTTCGACAATCGTTGGCCACAGTCTCCTCTGATTGGTCACGACCATCTCGAGTTACCTGTTTGGGAACATCCAGCCGATCGCGCAGTCCCCAAATGTTTCTCTCCGCAATGACGAGTCATAAGATAAGCGCTTGCCTGGTAGGAGTTATCCTCGGTGTTGTTGCTTGTCGTCTTCGGACATGTAAACATGGACCCGCAGACCCAGAGAGCGTTTTACATTGGCACACAAAGAAGCAGGCTGGCCGTCGATAAACCAACGCATCGACCGACATGTGACGGCGAGCGTTGGGAGTGGGCAGAGTTTCGCGCATCCTCCATGCAAGGTGTTGTTGTTCTCTGTTGACGCTGCGGCTCCCAACCTCTCTTCGCGAACTGGGCGAGTCAGACGCCACGCAAGGTATAGCTGTAGAGTGAGGGTGAAACGACATAGGCAATTGCAGAGCGTCTGCAGCACGAGCGAAGTGACAGCGGCCAGTAAATGCACGCCTACGCTCATGCAGGTGATTGGCGTCGCGGCGTGTAGGCGATTATCAGCCCCAGCCTTCCGATGCACGTCCGCTGCGGCTTGCCCTTGTGGCAGACGTGCTAGCGGGCTTAACCTCGCTGATATGGAACATTCTAGCATCGTTTTTAGGACCAAAATCCCAGCTTAATTTTTATCCGCCCTGGATCTCAACCAACAGTCGCTGCAGCCAGACTAAATTTCTAGTGACACCATCCAGGCCGCTATCCTTCCGCAGCTCGCCCCCATGGTTCTTCCCTCCTTCTTCGCATCCTCAAAGAAGTCGTCCAAGACCAGAGATATCCCCAACCTTGCCCCCCGACCTTCACCCCAGGCTACCGCGGGCACCCCTCCTGCCTCGCCTGACAAGCACACCCACTCCAAGGTGAAAGACCGGGAACGCTCCTCCAGCCGCCGTTCGAGCTCGTACTCGTCCAAGCGTTCCTCCAAGTACGACCGCGACTCACACCCGCTAAATCTGCCGCCTGAGGAACGCCAACGCCTGTCCTCGCAAATGTCCGCCATGGACCAGCCCACACCCCAGCCAATGGACGTCGACCGGGAACACTCGTCCTCGCCCGCACCCTCGAGCCCGGTAGCAGACGCCCCAAAGACGAATGGCGCCAACGGCGCCCCAGACGGGCCCGCTCCTCCTCCCCACAGATACACAAAGAGCCCGCCGCCGCCCACAGCAAACTACGCTGCCACCCCCGAGGCTGCCACCCCGCCTGCTGAGCCCCCGACCATAGACGCCGAGGAGTACAAGGCTGCTGGCAACAAATTCTTCAAGATCAAGGATTACCCACGCGCCATCGAGGAATACTCCAAAGGTGCGTAGTCATACTTGCCATGCACTAGCCGCAGCTTTGCACTACACAACACACCAAGGAGAGCTTCGGGCTAACCAATCCGCAGCTATCGAGGCCGACCCCAAGAATGCCACCTACTACTCGAACCGGGCCGCCGCCTACATTTCCGCCAACAAGTTCTACGAGGCCATGGAGGACTGCAAGATGGCCGACGAGCTGGACCCCAACAACATGAAGATCCTGCTGCGGTTAGGCAGAGTATACACCAGTCTGGGACGGCCAGACGAGGCTGTGCAAGTATACGACTCCATCAATGCCACGGCCAAAGACAAGCAGCCTGCCTTGACAATGCAAAAGCACCTCCGCATGGCCGAGGACACTGCACGGAACGAGGGCTCGGGCTCCATGGTCATCTACGCTCTTAACGAGGCTGAGAAGGGCCTCGGTGCTGGTGTAGACAAGCCCCGAAAGTGGCAGCTTATGCGGGGAGAGGCACACCTGCGCATGGGCAATGCCAATGCGCTTGGGGAGGCACAGAACGTTGCCATGTCGCTGCTACGGTATAACAACCAGGACCCGGATGCTCTCGTGCTTCGCGGTCGCATCCTATACGCCCAGGGCGAGAACGACAAGGCTGTCCAACATTTCAGACAAGCGCTTGCCTGCGACCCTGACTTCAAGGCTGCTGTGAAGTACCTTCGCATGGTTCAAAAACTGGACCGCATGAAGTCGGAAGGTAACGCTGCCTTTAAGTCTGGCAGGTTCCAAGAAGCCATCGACACCTACACCCAGGCGCTAGAAGTCGATCCCTCGAACAAGGGCACAAACTCCAAGATCCTTCAGAACCGAGCCCTTTGCCACAGCCGGCAAAAGAGCTGGAAGCAAGCCATTGCCGACTGCGAGAAGGCGCTGGAACTCGACCCAAGCTACACAAAGGCACGGAAGACCCGGGCAAAAGCCTTGGGCGAGAACGGCAACTGGGAGGAGGCTGTGCGTGATCTCAAGGCCATCCAGGAAGAGAACCCGTCGGAACCTGGAATCGCCAAGGAAATCCGCGATGCCGAGATGGAGCTCAAGAAGAGCAAGAGGAAAGACTACTACAAGATTCTCGGTATCGAGAAGGATGCCACAGAGCAACAAATCAAGAAAGCATACCGAAAGCTGGCCATCGTACATCACCCAGACAAGAACCCTGACGACGCGGATGCTGCAGACAGGTTCAAGGAGATCCAAGAAGCACACGAGACTCTGAGCGACCCACAGAAACGTGAACGGTACGACTCCGGCGCTGATCTTGTAGACCCCAACGACATGTTCGGTGGGGGCGGTATGGGTGGAGGCATGGGTGGCATGGGTGGTGGCATTGACCCAGAGATCCGTAAGTACAATAACCACTGTGAGAAAACATTCACAGCTAACAAAAGGCACAGTCATGCAAATGTTCGGTGGCATGGGTGGAGGCATGGGAGGCGGCCGTGGCGGAGGAGGTGGTTTCCACTTCAGCAGCGGCGGTGGCGGCAGTCCATTCGGTGGTATGGGTGGTATGCCCAGCGGTGGTCGAAGAGGAGGACCACCCGGTGGCTTCCCCTTCTAAGCGCCTCATTTATACCCACACAACCCCCACGACGACGCTCCGGTTCAAAAACAGCATCCTCTCTTTGATTCGTGTGTATACCCTTGGCAGAACACTTCCGACAGATTTCATTCACTGGCGTTGGATACAGGAGACGCGCGAGCAGTAGATGCATAGACGGTCGTTCGGATCGCTCTCCTGTATTTGGGTGGGATGCGAAGCATTGATTTTCACGTTGGCTCCCGAGGGATTTAGCATTGCCTGGCGTCTCTCATTACTATTTTGTGCATGAAACCCACCTCTAAGAAATGTCTGCCGTATGTGACGTGTTGGAATTAGTAGTGTAATGCGAATTTTTTTTTAAAAAAAGTTAACGACCAAGGGATTGTCTTCGTGCTCGTGACGTACAGACAGAGATGGCCTCCCGACACAAGGACGAGTCGCAATGGTGTTCGTGTACAATAGCCGTTGTGGTGGATCGTTCATGTCGTGACATTTGCAGCAGAAATCGTACCGAATCGTGTGCAAAAGGAGCCAATGACGTCATACACACTAAGGTCTTGTGAAAACCGTCCAGTAGCATTTCGCATGACCTTGATTTCCATAGTGCCCGAGACCTTAATTCTTATTCTTTCTACCTCAATTAGTAGTAACCCCATCGAAGGTTTTTCTCACGAGTATCATTCCAACAATAGCACCACTTCGTATAAACCCTGAGCTGGGAAAACTTACTCCTTGTTTGGTACGTTAGGTTTTCGCAAGTGGTTTTGACAACGTTCAAAGGGAGCATAAAGTCTATTCAGACTGCACCACCAGTAATAGCTACTCGAGCATTCTTTAGAAGACAAGGACCTTCTGAGAGGCGCCTCTACACTCTCTCCACCCTCTACAGATCGTGCCACGTAACCGTACGATTGAATGTCTACAATGCAACCTTCCAGACGCGGCCGTCCAAACCGCCAAACACCCACGTCAGGACTATCACGAGGCGCCCACACACCGCGGGACCGCGGTGACTCTACGCCATCCTCCATCTACAATTCCGAGGCCAACTTCCATGTCTCAGATTACCGGGGACGAGGACGAGGACGAGGTCGAGGTCGAGGTAGAGGCAGGGGCCGTGGTGGACCGAACTTCAGATCGGACCCAGACTATCCTCCCGTCCCATCCTTCGCTTCTCTCAACCCCGGTACAGCTGTTTCCATCATCCTCAAACAAGACCAGCCCACCGGACACCAAGTCCGCGGTATTGTAGCAGACTTGCTAACGCGTGGCGATCATCCCCGGGGTGTGAAAGTAAGGTTAAGGGATGGAAGGGTTGGTAGGGTACAGAAACTTGTCTCCGAGAGCGAAGGAACGCAGGGTGAGGCTGTTGTTGGTGACGCTGGTGCGGGGCTGGGTAGGGATGGTGAAGGTGGGGGAAATGGTGTAGAGAGGAGACCGGGGAGGATGGTTGGTGGGAGAATAGAGAGGGATATTAGGGATGAGGATGAGTATCTTTATGATGAGAGGAGGAGGAGACAGCCTGCGGATGTGGGAATATTTGCTGCGCTGGAAGAGGCGGATCGGAGATATCAGGGAACTGGGAGTGGAGAGTTGAGGAAGCCTCAGGTTGCGATATGTCCGGTGTGTGAAGATTTTGAGGGAGATGAGGCAGCTGTTGCACATCATGTTGAGGAGCATTTTGGGGGATGATGGAATTGGAAATGGTGGGTTGATTTGCCATCTTGCTCTGCTTGAAAGGGTCTTTCATGTATACGACGTCGAGCAGTGGTTAACTATCTCCGTCGTGTCAAGGTCTCTAACATGCCTTGCGTAAGTGACCATATATATCTCTGAGCCCTAACAACATCTTTGCCGTCGCGCCTGCACCACAGTATGGTATCGGCAGTAGCACATTCCCCCTTCCCCGTTTTCATCGCCATCTCACTTGTAGACTACATCCAGACCACGCTTCTCGTCCACATAGTTAAACTCATCCCTAAGAAGCCAGAACTTCGCACCTTTTCCTTCCTGGATGCGCCCATGAGCCTTGTGGTGGTTGATCACATTCTGTCGGCGTTTACTATAGACCTTGACGAACTGCTCGTCTTCCTTCCAATCCTTGAAGATGCTCGACGCAACCCATCCTGCGTTAGGTAGACGCGAAGAGTTTCTTCCGTCGGGAAGATTCCTAGTATTGATGTGGTCGCAATCGAAGGCACGAAATGCTCTGTTGGCCATATCGAGGTCGATGACATTGTCGAGAGCGTTCCACCTGAGCTCGTTGAGTTTGTCTTTCAAGATTTCAATCTCATTCTCCGGCACCTCAATCTCAATCTCAGGGCGGTCTTGGGATGTCGCATGTCTGGGAGTCTGGATGTTCACACCCACCTGGGCCTGCGAACAGCCTGAAAGAAGTCTACAACGGTGTGAGTGAGATACTCAATGGAGAGGAGGAAGATGGATGGGTAACGGAGGTGCTGGGAGTAACCCGCTGCATTCTCAGAACATAAGATGATGATGTCACACTAAAGAAATCAAGCGTGGTTGGTCTGTCGCGAAACCTAAGATCATCAATCGTTACGTACCTTTTCGGATCCCTTTGAGTCCTTGAGTTGCTCACGCGAGACTCCTGCACCTCAGCTTCGAGGTTGGAGAGCCGTGCCCTAAAAAACTCTGCATCTGCTTCGCTCGCTGAGCGCTGTTCGGTAAGCAGTTTGTTTGCTTTGGTAAGCCTTGCGACCTTATCTTCCTCGACCGCCAGCTTTCGCTGCAGATCAGCGATCCGTCCTTGGCTTGCAGTGTTATCGCTCGATTGAGATGTTGCTTCATCCAATTCTTGTTCTGCAACATGAACATCCCCGCGAACCGCGGCAAGCTTCACAATGAGGCGATCATAGGAGTTCTGTGGTCGAGCGCACGAGTGCGATATTCCTTGCGCCGCACCAGTAATATCAGCCAGTTCGACATCCTTGTGTTCCAGAGCGGCTTCGAGCACTTCCATCTGTGCCCGCAGCGCCTCAGCTTCCGACGTCGTGGTGGTGTGGGTAGCCTTTTCCTGCTCGAGATTCTGGTTCAGAGCCTTGACCGTATCAATTTCACTCTGCAGGCGCTGGACTTCGACTTCTAGATCGCTGTTCTTGCGGTCTGCAACACTCAGTTTAAATCTCAATCTAAACAGGTCCCTCTCTTCATCGCTGTCGGAGGCGTTGTCTTCTGATGCGACCGTGCTGCTAGATAGCATCTGATATCGCTGCTGTCGACTCGGATGCATCCCGGCGTAGGTATCATCGTCATCAGAGTGCGCGTATGCCATTTTCCCCCGAGTAACTGATTAATTTGACGCGATTGTGGGTGGTGTGTGTGTGCTGGCTAGCTGGGAGTCGCTCCTACTTGATCTGTGTAGCAGAGTCTATGGTGCTTGGCAGAACGCTTCCGCCGAGAAGGAAGGCGTGCAAGAGCCTGGGGCAGGCATAATATTTGCAGGACTAGAAAATGGTGAACGAGGAAAGTGAGGGTTGCGAGGCCACCTGAGCGTTGCTGGTAGCTCTGTCACGGGCCACATGCTGTGAGACAGTACCTAGGTATGAGAAAGCTGTCAGCAGAGATGTCGAAATTGAGGAGGTATTTGGAAGATTGCTTACCTGGGAAACAAGATATAGGACGAAGAAAAGAACAATGCTATCTGCTATATTTGGAGTACAAGAAGTAGATCCATGAGAGTTGGCAAAGAGCTTTGATACATTCTATAACACGCGATCCGATGACGGCTGATGCACACAACATCATCTTTTGGCGATGAGAAGCCGACAGTAATAGAATAGGTAATACAGATTATGGGGGACTCTAGCGATGTGTTCGTTGTGTATACGGCCATGAGAAATACAAGTAAAACGATGGCGACAGCAACGGCTGGCATCAGGTCGTACACTTATGGTGGCTCATACTTACTCATTACCTGCCAGGGTCGCTTCTCCGTTGGCGGCAACATTGATACCATTAGATCCACCAATAGACTTACTGCCATCCGAACCTTCTGTAATGCCTAGATTTCCGCCTAGATTGTCTGCGTTGCCATCCTGGCCGAGAGTGATACCAGACTCTTCAGAGAACCTTTCAGATTCTTCAGTAGCCTTGACACCATTTGACTTTTCTCCCGTTGCCTCTTGAGCTTCCTTCTCGGCTTCCTTCTTCGCTGCCTCTCCTTCGGCGCGGCCAGGCTGGTTTTCTGTACCAGCGCCAGCGCCGGCCTCAGATTTTGCTGGCTCTTGCTCTTCCGTGGCAGCAGGCTTCTGCGCTTCAGCAGCGGAGTTTCCCTCCTCGGCAGTAGCGGGCTTTTCGCCTTTTGTTGCTGAAGACTTGGGTGCCTCTTCAGTCGTCGCTGTACTGTTTCCCTTCTGGTTTCCGCCGAGCTTAAGACCGTCGCCAGTAATTCCGCCACCTGGGCCACCCAGAGTGAGTCCTCCAATCGTGAGACCACCTCCTCCACCTCCTTGTTTTTGAGCTTCGCGACGGCGGCTTCCCCCGTTGGTCAACGAGTCTAGACTCTGAAAGTCTGCGTCGCGTCTAATGGGGTGCGCTCGGTACGAGCGGGAAACAAGAGCTGATTTCGTCTATCACACGGATAAGCATATGCTACAGACCAAATATCGAACGATGCCAAGGTAGTGTCGAATTTGGATATACTTACTGCCCATAGTGTGCGGGGAGGAACGACGAAAGCATCTACGCACGATATGACCAGAAGACCGAGAGTCAGTTCGAGAGAGAGCTTCATGTTGGCTGATTAGATACTCTGGAAAAAGGGTGTGTAAAGAGAATAGCTGTCCGGCAGCAAAGTTAACAGAAAACCAAAACGAATTGAGGATGTTACCAGAAAGCTTATCAAAGGTCAGTTGGAGATCTGTACTGTAGATAAGTCTTTTCCAAGCCCATGAGTCTCAGCAACATATGCTTACCCGAGCCACCGTCTAGTGCGTACATTGGCATTGCCGGAACCTGCATAATGGAACGCATCCACAACGTTTACAGGTCAGCTTGGCAATCGTAAGTGGTCGGAGCACTGTGTCAAACGCCAATGCGCGGCATGGTCGACCACTCGCTAGGATGTTGGGGTCGCTCATGTCGCAAAAGCGTCGCAGCTCCCGTCTGGGCCCTGATGGTCGTGTTCTAACCATTCGGCCCTCGTAAAGCCGTCTTGGAAGAATCAAGTAAGAAAGACAAGTCATGGCTAAGCTTCTGGATGGTAATTTTGTGATGCTAGGAAAGCCAAGAACGAATTTGAATCGAGACACGAATTGCGGTTTGAGTATACCGGTTCTGTGTTGAAACAGAGTCTACAGGTCGTACGATTCTTCTGTTAAAGAAAACTTAAGGTGTTGCTGAGCGCATTGAAAGACCTGTTTGGTGACAGTAGGTTTGCTCTTGTCAGGACATGATCGGAAGCACATGTTCCAAGGTCACGACGACCTTTAAGTGGCGACAAATGTACGCGAGTGGAGAGGGAACACGAACAACAATACACAATATCGATCTGAAATGGAACGAATTGGCGATGAAATTGATGAGCGGGACGTGGCTATCCCGTCGAGTGCGGGCTGGGAAACCACGCGAAATTGACACGCTAGCGACAATGACTAAGCCTATGCGACGAGATTCTCGGGGTCGACTGTTCTTGCGGAAGCTCTTAGGCTCACAATTCATGTCAGCATGTCACATCATGACGTTCCGTTGTTGTCTGCACCGAACAACCATGACGCTCTCACGGATCGAAGTGATGCTGTATTGGTTGGGGCCGTGCCACATTTTATGTGAGTATGAGATTACATGATACGTTATCATTTTTTGGACTTGCCTCTCATGCTACGGCTTAATCAGCTTCAACATGTGTTCCTTATCCAATATGTGCGGCAAGCTAATATGACCTCGGTAAGGTAGATGGCTACAACCTTTCCACTGCGCTTTCTCCGCCTAGATAGATTCGCATACTTCAATACCACCCCAACCAAGCCTACTCGTGCCGGCACGTCTTAGCCGTTGTAGAGACGCTCTCCATCGTCTCTATATTGCTGGAAAGCCTCGTGTAGTGACTCCACGGTCTCACCAGGGAAAAGATGCAGGAAGAATGCGTACCCTTTTTTGCGCTTCACCTTCCACATGAACAACTGCCGCTTCGCGTCGTCATTCCAACCGGTGAAAATGAATTGGCTTTTGTTAGTAGATGGGGTGTCTTTCACCATGTCGCGGGGATGTGCAGTAGAGGCTTGTGAAGCGCGACTGGATAGGCCAACAAGATTCTGAGAGGAAGAGTCTGTAAGATGGTGGGTTAGCCGGAAGACTAACAACAGATTTCAGGTCATCGTTTACCTGCGCCACGATCTAAATAGACTCCTAGATCTTGTGCTGGTCCACTAAAGCCAAGGCCACCCAAGTCAAGTGATCCTCCTAGTGCCTGGGTCTGCCTGTGGTCTCGAGAGAATGCCGCGGCTGGGAAGCCTCCCAAAGTCCGAGTATTGTTCCTGTCTGCCTTGGTATCTGGCTGAGCATGACGAGGAACCACGAAAGCCTCGCCAGTCCAGACCCTACCGTCTGCATAACGCCAAGCCTGATCCGGGTCTTCCCACGAGGGTGGGTCCGCCGCTGGAGCTATCCGCTAAACTCAGTTCGGAGTCTACAGATGGAGATATTCTTAGTTACATAGATTGTGTAGTCGGTTGACCGATCCACGTGGCTGCATAAATGAAGAGGCGAAATCTCCGTTATTGTTTGGAAAGAGCGATTCGTCTAGATGTCTCAGGGGACGGTATCCACGATTAGAAGGCTCTGCTGGCGGATGGTCGTTTTTCTTATCAGGTGAACCAGCCATTTGTAGTATAAGGAAGGTATCTATTAGGGTTTCTGTTGGAGAGAAAATGACACTACGGGAAAGAAACGTATGAGCCCTCGAAAACAGATAAACCAAAACAATATTGATAATGATCGCGAATTTTGATCTTTGTACATGTTAAGTGAAGGCAAGAGTAATTGAGTCAAACAATACTTTGCCCCTCAAAGACGACTTCACCTTGTTGTTTCTTGACTCACCAACAATCTACCTGCCCTTTGTTCAATAACATTCGAAAGTCTGCTCGTATCATCGTGTGAGAGCGATGGTCATCTGGGACGCAAGAGTGCTGACTACTTCCAGGCTACAGTGAATCGTGGTGCTGGACTTCATATCGTCATTGGTATCATATGAAGGAAGAATGAAAAGTGAGTGACCATACAGATCAGAAGCAACGAGTGAATTTAATGGTCCGACTATTGCAATTCGCTCACACTAAAACCCAGAAGCTTGCCATCGGCATTGTCTTTCTGTGCCCTTGTCAATAGTGGGCTGAGCTCTTCTCCGACTCGCTCGTACTTTCTTGCATACAAATCCCTTGATAGAAATGGGAATACATGATTCCTTGAACCATAGTTTCTCTGGTACTGGTAGTTTTGCAAGGCAGGACTTCCATGACCCATTAGGGTGACAACTGGCTACGGTCCCTTGTCTGAAACGTTGCTAGTGTATCCCGCGTATCACGAGGGTGGATAGGCTTGAGCTCGCTGACAAGGTCCTGAATTAAGAAGTCAGGTCTCAAGCCAGAGGTCTACAGCAATCCCATTTACCTATTGCGCAGATGTGTGAGGTGCTCGCTAGGCGCCGCGATATTGACTAGGAATTGCCGGGACTGTCAAGAAGTTGTCTGAAAGCCTTATCAGTCATGAGATATACAAAAAGTACTACAAGACACCTCTTGCCATACTTAAAGCGGTGCCGAAGGTTTGTCGGCATGCGCCAACAATCTCGTACAAAACCTTATTGTCGATATGGTATGATAATTCTATGAAGCTTCAATGAAGCGCAAGCACCGGACTTCTAGAAAGATTGGGCAGTAGTTTGAATACGCGATCGAGAGCTATCTTCACTTGAGCGGCCAATGTGTTGTTGACAGCTGGCAATATCATTTCGAAGAGGTTATGTGGCAGGCCAGATACAGTTAGCGTTCTGCGCCACAGCTGTGGCCGAACATAACGTCATTGTTCTCCATCTCGCTTCACAGCAGCTGCCCACTTCCTACAATCTCTACAGTACGGACGGCAGACGTCCTTCTTCTCACACAATCGAATTTGATAGCTCGTATTTTTGCGCTGTGGTTGAAAGCCACTTTGTCCATTGGACTGCAGTTTCCTTACCTACAGGAGTTAAAACAGCAACCTCCAGCTCAACCGAGCACATCACCCATCTCCCCTACAACCATGGCAACGCGTCGTAAACCAGACAGCGACACAGACAACGGTGTACCTCTCACAGCGGGCATGCCCGGCGGTACCATCCGCCCACCGACCTCATCGGCGCGTCGCTCCCCCTTCCTCCCTACGCGCCTCGAAGCACAACTCATCGCCATCTACCCATTGACACTCCTCCTCGGTAGCGTCTTTAGCATAATTTCGCCTTCCAATCGAGCCGCGCCCTATTCCGCAACCCTACAGTCTCACCCTACCGAATTTGCGCCCTCATACTTTGCGCAGAAAAAGAACATCTTCAATGTATACTTTGTCAAACAAGGATGGTTCTGGACTACACTAGCATTTGCTGTCTTTGTTACCTTCCATCCTGGTTTCGGTCAGGGTGCGAGTGCGAGGCGCATCCGAGCGGTCATGCGATATGGTGTTGTGACGACTTGGTGGTGCTTCATGACACAGTGGTTCTTTGGACCGCCGTTGATCGATCGCGGCTTCAGGTTCACTGGAGGTCAATGCGAAATAATAAGAGATCCCGAGGCGAGGGAAGAAATGAGCAACACAAGAGAATATATCACGGCTGCGACGTGTAAGGCAGTTGGTGGAACTTGGAAGGGTGGTCATGACATCTCTGGACATGTCTTCTTGCTTATTCTTGGCTCATCGCTTCTGTGGTTGGAATTCCTGCCTGCGTTGACGCGTGTAGAAGGGCTGAGAGACGGAAGGTTGATCACTTTGCCAGATGGCAAGGTTGCAAGTGTTGCAGTGGAGAAAGAGCTGGTGAAGTCTGAGGGTGAAGCTACCGCGCGTGGCGTCAAGTTCGCGCTCGGTGTCGCGGCGCTGATGTGGTGGATGCTTCTCATGACAGCTGCCTACTTTCATACTTGGTTTGAGAAGTTCACGGGCCTGCTAGTCGCATTCGCAGCGCTGTGGACTGTCTACTTCCTCCCAAGAGGCGTTTTCCAGGTTAGAGCGTGGTTGGGTATGCCTGGTGTATGAAAAATTTACTGTGTAGTAGCGAACTGCAGGAGTGGCGGTGGGCATTCATCTTGCAGATCGCATGGCGGCGATCGCAAAACAAGCCGAGAGCGGCGACGACATAGACTGCATGGCGAGTTGGTGAGTTGACGAGTCAAGCGCTTGAGCAAAAACATAATGAGTATAGTATTGTTTAATGGCATATATTACCACTTCATCCTGTGTTCGACAACAGGCTCATTAGGTCATAGACGTCATTTTCGAGCAAAAGATGGTATGATTTCAGAATGATACCAAAGGCAAATCCCTTGCCGTTGTCGCTAACACTAGGTATTCCGGGAATCCCTCCGTGCCGCTCCCTCTACAATCTCGGAGCTACACCAACGGTTTTCTAGTGACAGGCATGTTGTGTTCCGGGCAACACAGGGCTAGTGTACCCGGTGTGAGATGGCAGCTGCAGCCTTTGACAAGACCGTTGACCACATCTACCGCGGCTAAACCTCGCATCGACCCAGAGTTACACCGCGCCCATCTCTAAATGGTATCCTATCCGCCCAGTTCCGCCCGCTTCACCCAATCACTTGATTCTCCGTAGAGTCGCATCGTGAAAGAGTTTGTCTGTGACCCCAGACTTTCCCCACTTCCCCTCACGATGATCAAGCCATTGCATCCCGATGTTAAGCTAACCATGCGGCATTGGTTGTTGAGACAAGTACTTAATGGAGGTACCTTAGCGGATTTCCGCGACGTATTGCTCAACTGCGAAATCTCGCAATGTTTGGCATGAAGGGTGTTTGCGCGTTGAGCCTTTTGGCCAGCGCCGTGGTTGGTCAAGATGGTATGGAATGGGTTTCGGATCCGACAGAGGCGGCTGCTGACGTGAGGCAGCTATTTCAGCGACTGGGACAAACTTCACCTTGACCGCTGATGGCATGTCATACCTCTTCCATGTAGATACCGAGTCGGGAGACCTCATCTCGGATCATTTTGGAGGACCGACCGACGACTTTACACCACCGGCCTTCATCCTCCCCTACGGATGGCATGCTGGGATATCCAACGATCGTCGCGAGTTTCCTGACAGTGGTCGTGGCGACTTCCAACTACCAGCGATTCACATCGAACATGCTGATGGGGACACGGTATCCGCGTTCCGTTACCAATCTCACGAGATCACCCAGGGAAAGCCTTCGCTACCAGGACTACCCGCCACCTACGGTGAAGCTGGCGATGTAACGACCATCACCGTACATATGTACGACAACGTTTCTGATGTTTCGGCGGCTTTGTCGTACTCGATCTTCCCCAAGTACAATGCTATTGCGAGAAGTTTTAGCATTGCAAACAACGGTACTGCCGATATCGTCATCGAGAGAGCCTCGAGCTTCAGCACCGACTTTCCTAATCTGGATCTGGAGATGATTGAGCCGCATGGTGATTGGTCACATGAATTCCAGACTGTGAAGAGAAAGATTGACTATGGCGAGACTTCGTAAGTCGATGTCCTCAAGTATTGCTACAGTGTGATTAATAAAGGGCAGATTCCGAAGCACGGCAGGGTATGCGTCGCATCTTCACAACCCCTTCTTCGCCTTGGTCTCGCCAACTACCACTGAATCTACCGGAGAGGCGTGGGGATTCAGTTTGGTTTGGAGCGGCAGCTTCGAGGCTACAGCCCAGCGTTTCTCTAATGGCTACGTACGTGTGCTTATGGGCCTCAACCCGCTTCACGCCAGTATTCGTGTGGCTCCAGGGGAGATGTTCCAGTCTCCTGAAGCTGTTGGTGTATACTCTTCTCAAGGTGTTGGTGGCGTATCGCACTCGTTTCACGACCTATATCGCAACCATCTCTCCCGTTCCAAGTTCACGGATCAAACCAGGCCAATTCTACTCAACTCTTGGGAAGGATTGAGCTTTGATATCAACGAGACTTCTCTGGTTAACCTTGCCGGCGAGGCTGAAGAGCTAGGAATTGAGCTCTTCGTGATGGACGATGGGTGGTTCGGCGTAGAGTATCCACGTAACAACGACTCTCTCGGTCTGGGCGACTGGACGCCAAATCCGGCTAAATTCCCTGATGGTCTTGGCCCATACGTGGAGCAGGTCAACAACTTTACAGTGTTGAACGCATCATCAACACCTCTACAGTTCGGTATTGTGAGTGTCTCTGTGCTATGCGAACTAAATTTGAGACATACACTGACACTATACCTCTATATTTAGTGGGTAGAACCAGAAATGGTCAATCCCAACTCGACACTTTACCATGAGCATCCCGATTGGGTCTTGCACGCGGGAAAGCACGAGAGATCGCTGACCCGAAACCAACTAGCACTGAACGTGGGATTGCCCGAAGTACAAGAGTTCATCATCAGCTCCGTCTCTCGAATTCTCGATTCTGCGAACATCCAATACGTGAAATGGGACAACAACCGCGGCATGCATGAGCTTGCCCGTCCATCTGACGACTACACTTATATCCTCGGTTTATACCGCGTGATTGACAACCTCACAACAAGCTACCCCAACGTACTTTGGGAAGGCTGCGCATCCGGTGGAGGCCGCTTCGACCCAGGTCTGCTCCACTACTGGCCGCAGCACTGGACTTCCGATAACACGGATGCATCAAACCGTCTCACCATTCAAATGGGTACATCACTTGTCTACCCACCTTCGGCGATGGGGTGCCACGTCTCCGCTATTCCGAACGGTCTCACCCACCGCAACATCAGCATCGAGTACCGCGGCCATGTAGCGATGATGTGCGGCTCCTTCGGTCTCGAACTAAACCCCGGGGAGCTCTCACCAGAGGAAGCTTCCGCCGTACCGTCCATCATGGCGCAAGCTAAAGCCGTAAATCCAGTAGTTATTTCTGGTGACTTTTATCGCCTCGCCCACCCGGATGTCAGTAATTGGCCAGGTGTGCAATTCGTCAGTGCAGACGCAAGCCAGAGTGTAGTGTTTGCGTTCCAGCAACTATATATGATCAAACCGGCTGCGCCTCCACTGAGACTGCAAGGCTTGGATCCTAAGGCGAGATATTACAATGACTTGGACAATGCTACATACAGTGGGGCTACATACATGAATGGTGGACTCAATATTCAGTGGCCCATGGGGGATTATCAAAGTAAGCTGATTTGGTTGAACAAGGTCTGAATAGCTTAATGTGTACATGCATTTACCATAATCGAATCATCTTCGTCAGTAACGCACTTGTCTGAAAGCATCTGATCTCGTTCAGGAGCGCCAATAGCGAGGGCAGTTCCTAAATCTCAGCCAATGGACGACGGTAAACCGCTTCCCACCCATTCTCTGCAACAGCCCGAATTTTCTTGTCATCCATGACCTTGACCAGCTTTCCACACTTCTCTCCGGTAAGCATAGCGACGTACTGGTCTTCCTGCTCCTTACTAACCAGATGGTACCGACAAAGGTACGCCACGTGGTTGGCCAATGCCTCCAGAATGGGATCTACGACCGCGTCCTTGCATGTCAGCTCAGCAACGGTGACTAATTCGTTGACTTCCACAGTACGACAAACAAGACCACCAATGTAACGTTCGATGACCTGCTGAGTATATTGAGCCATACCTAAGGTACGCGCTGTAAGGTGAAGCTCTAGACCCTTCTGGAGGTTGTTGGGTATGGGAAGGTCAGTGTATTCCTTATCAGTACAGATCTTCCGCAGCCACTTCGAGATGGCACGCATCGACTCCAATGTGACGTCTTTGTGATTGCACCTAATCAATTTGGCTTCTGCATAATCGCTTATATGCTGACGGAACGCTGGTGAAGCAGCAAAGAAAGCTAGCTTGGGGACACTGACCTCCACCTCTTTGCCGTTGGGGTCAAGTACTTCCACTTTGATGGTGATGTGTGGATATAGTTCTTTACGAGCGGAGGCTGACCAGTTGCGGAGATGGTACCCGCCGTTTAGATTCTCTAGGTCTCCGAGGACTCTGTTAATTTGGCCGGCTGGGGAAAGGGAGTCGACAAAGTTACTTGTCTTGGCGGCATTGCGACGCTGGGAACTTTTACCCTTCACGGGTCGGTTAGTGTTGGTATTGCGAGAAGCGGTAGACATTATTGTAGTGTCTTGGATTATCCAATATAGTTTCAGAGTTGATGTGTAGATGTATCCAGAGTTGATTATAATGTACATCTCTCAAAATGAGTGATTTGGGAGGCTTTATAGATCTCCAGGAGGAACTTTCTCAGAGAGTGATTGTTAGCTGGTACGAGGGAAAGAACTGCGCTATGACCCTGAGTTTATCGTGTTTGTGTCTAAGAGAACCTTCAACATTAGGTGAGTGAATGGATGAATGAATTCAGAGCTATACCTTTGAAGTAGGCTATGCGCTAAGGGTGAGTGATAGAGCAAAACCCGATAGACGGCTGCACAGACCTGTTGGAAGGACCAAAGTATATTGCAGATCAGTTGTGGCAACGATGAGAATTGCGTTGTATCATCCTGATGTTCGCTCGAAGATTCATTTTTAAAGACGGACATTGTATGACTTATCTTTGAGTGTCTAAAGCTGCAGCACACCTCTCGTATATGGAAGAGCTGATCGCAGTATAGCAGGTAAGTAAATTGGTCATTTGACTATCCGAGTCAAATTCACCAGTGAATATTGTCTTTGTCTCGGGTTGGATTGGAAGTTGCTCATCACTCAAGTTGACGTTAAATGGCAGGATGTCTGGCAATGTGACAAACGTTGTCAGATGTAGCTGCGCAATCGTGAACTTGCTACCACTGAGCTTGTTCTTACAAGAGCTGAACATGTCACCACCGCTTGTGAGCATAGATCTCCACAAGCACTTTGTTGCGTTGACATAATGTGCACAAATTGCAGAATTGAGTCATTGCGGAGGATTGTGCTTACATTAAAGCGAACATGGTAGATGAATGCTGTACAGTCTTTGGTTTGTTTTGCTTAAACGTGTGGATTCGTTCCATCGGTGAATACCTTGCGTAGTTCTTCAGCTGCCGCAGATGTGCTCGAGCACTCGCGATCGGAAGGAAATCCGGCAATAGATCGTACAATGCGCGCTGCATCTGCTCGACATGCATCATCCCCTTTCTTTAGGATATTGGAAAACCTATTCTTACTTCTTGCGCAGCCCACTAACTTGAGGGGAGCAGCTTGGTGATTATGATGGGTTCAAAGTATGTTTAGTCGAATGGTGGTGTTACTATTGATAGCTCCTCAT